TGAACATCTCTGTCGCCCGATTGCTAACCGACTGACAGAATTTTTCCGAAAGGGCTTCCTCTACCCCCAAGTAGTTTCCCATCGTTACATTGTGAGTTCACTCTCACCACGACAAGATTTAGGTAAAACGAAACCAACGGTTCTAGGATAACACGTACAGAATAACGGATATGCGGGTGCTTCTGTGCAAGTGTTTGGCTACGTAAAACGTCTGATATATTCGGTGGAATAACCAGGACGGACTTGACGTTACGACCCTTAACTTCGGCTGGTGAGGTATACCTGCGATCACCTGCGAACTGGGCGATACTCTGCCATAAACCGTTTCGGCAGTCGATAATCAGGATCGGTTCAGTGACCTAGTGACACAGGTTTGCAAACTGCAGGTGAATTTCCGAAAGGGTGAGTTCTAATCAATTTATTGCTGATTATTATTTTTTTAATTTAACGCAAGCTATGGCTTATTTCCGGCGATAATTCTGCAAGTTTCTGTATCTAAGTTTTTCTTCGGGTTTTTTGAAGAAACTTATTCATTATCAGTAACATTGTTGACCGTTATTACACTACGAATTTTTATACCAAAACCGAACTACGATCACTTCTCATTCATTCTCTGTTACATTACCTTTTCGTTCACACGTTATTTGAAAAGGAAATTTGCAAATTCGTAAAAAGGAATTTACAAAAAAGTAAATTTGTATTCGCCTTCTTACGTTACACATAATTTGCCTACATTTACGTTTCATTCATTAATCTCTTTAAAGAACAAACGGCAGATGATAAAAAGTATGATTTTATTTGTTACGTCTTTTTTATTCGCTATTATACGCAGCTTCCTGCGATGCATGCTGACCTACTTGTTTGGAGCTTCGTAGTACAAGCGTAGCGCGTAGCCACCGCTAGCGCGGGAACTCTGCTGGCAAACTCGCGCTCTGATTGGTCGCGGTTTTTCGTTAATATCTCTGTAACGAAGCCTCAGATTACATTGTTGCTAAGGAAAAAGTTGTTCCAATTCACCCCCTGAGTGCCCCATTTCCGGGTCGGTGGACATGTTTGGGACTCCCTGTATATACAGGGTGGCCCACATAACTCTTAACAGCTCTACATCTCGAAAACGATGCCATCGATTTTAAAGTTCTTGGTTTTAAATTGCATGAATCTGAAGGGCCTTTCCAACTACATAATCGTGAAGTGGCCCCCCTTCCCCTTTAAGGGCGGCGGGGATACCTTTATAATTTTAAATGGAACCCCCTATAAAACGTTACATACCCTAAAAAACAAGTAAATATTACATACCCTAAAAATCAAGTAAATTTTGTTTGTAAGATTTTGTTGTCAGATATTTCCATGAAGATATATAACAGTTTAAAGTTTCGACTTGTAGGTACTTACTTAAAGCGCTCGGAAATTGCGTTATTGAATTATACGCGCTTGAGTCCTTCGCTTATTCGTGAAGAAATAAAATGTTCAAAATGTCCACCACGGGCTTGCAAACATTTATTTACTCGAAACATCAAAGTTGTTCCAACATTTGTTAACATTTAGGGAGTCACTGAAGCGCAAGCGTCACATATGGGGATATGTAAAGAACAAAGTTATATTTGAACCGTCGACGACAAGAGAGAATATGAAACAACGAATACTTGCGTACAGACCCGGGAGAGGAACGGATTGACAGACCGTAGTCTGGCGGCTCGGACAAAAGAGCCTGGTTACGAGTCTTTAGCTCGGACTCTGCGGGCGGTCCCGATTTGCCGCGATTCGCGGCTCTTATCGCCCGCGCTATATCATCTCGCGGTAGACGGCGGTACCGCCGTCTCGGCCGCCGTGCTCGCGAGGTTCCCCCAAGTTCTCGAAAATATCATTCGGGACCCGACATCTGTCGGGATTCCGGTCGCTCTCGCCTGACTTGTCCCGACCCGACCGATCCTGAAATGTCGAGTACCGGCACACTCCTGCCTATTTACTGCTCACGTGTCTGCCCATCATTCGTTATTTCTACTTTTGTGGGAGTTCGTATACATGAAAGTGGTATTGTTTGTTTTTCCCAATAATGTGATATAAAATAATACTATGTAGTAGAACTAATAGATTACAACGAGTTCAATAGAATACAAATAATGCTGTACCATTATTAATGATTACTGCAAGTAGGAATTGTAAATAATAGTCAAACAAGTACTAGTTACATTTCAAATAATTCACGAATTTTCAGATTTGTTGCCACAGAAAAGAAAATCCCGCTTATTATACATTTTCAACGTATTTTTAATATAGTACCATTCCGTTTAGAGTTATACCACTACCCTCAATTCGTTAATACACTTAATGGTTGATACTAGTAACCATAATTTCTGTGATCAACTTTCCATATTTTGTTTGTATAGTTAGTATAGTTAGCTTATACTGGCTTAGTAATATATTGTACCCATTACAAAAATATATTAAATTGGAGGAGTCAATATTATGTACTTGTCAATAAACCTTTATATAGTGACATGTAAAATATTGTATAGCAATACCTAGAATGAACTTACCTCAAAGCTGAGAATACCACTATGATCCTGGTCCAAGGTGTTGAAAACGTAATGCGCGTATTGGCTAGTGTTGGCTACACATAAACAGATAAAATATACTCATTATAAACACATTCATTATATGATTCGTTAAATATTGGTTATCATTACGTTGCAACACGTTCTCGTGTATGAATCACAATTACATAATTAGTTCTTCTTTTATTAGTAGGCTACTGATTTTGTGCATTTATAATATACCCGATAGTTTAAAGTTTTGTATGCTAAAGAGTTTAATAAACTGCAGTACAGTTTTCATTTTATTTGGGACCTGGCAGAACCTATAATACACTAGACAACTGTTTGTTTTTAGCTTTCGTAAATAAATTTTTAGGGATCAAAAGTTGCATGAAGATCCGGAGTCTACAAGTATTTAGTAGCATTGATCTAGCAGAAGATATTATAATATCTTATTTCTGATGAAAGAGTTATACAGCTGTTATATTTCCACTAAAGAATCTAATTTCACTACTGTGGACTCTAACTATATTGCCACGCAAGGCACTTCCTTTTCACACGTACTTTCACGCACACAAATTCGCTCTCCCACCACATTGCGTATGCCCACGCACCAGCATGATCCAACTTTTGCGCAGGCGCCGAGACCGAGGCTACGACGACAGAATTTAGCATGGAGGAGGCTCTGAGTACATTGCCATTCTACTCTCCTACAGCCCCGTCCATGGCAATATAATTAGAGTCTACTGTATTTACACGTAAGTATTCCAAACACGTGGATGACAGAATTTTTTATGAATTTTTTCAAGTGACTTTTCCGAAAGCAAATGTTTCTACAAAAGTATTTATTGTAATTTCATTTCACATATTCTGTAAATATCACTTATTTTCACATAAGGAATCACACTTTTTCGGAAATTACAATAATGGTAAATTCAGAGGTAATATTTTACACGTTAAAAATTAAGGAACCTACCAATATTTTTCTGTGGTAAAAATATTTAAGAACAACGAATGTAATATTGTAAAAGTATTTAATCAGAAAGAAACCACTTGTCTGTAATAACATTACGTTCGTGTTGTAAAACGGAAGGATAGCCTTAATAAGTGCTTCAATTTCCAAGGTGGAAAACTCTCAATGGCTTTCCTAAGAAACCTTTCGAGACCGTCAAATCTACTGTGGCTCGTAAACTGAAACTCTACCAGTGTGCGTTAATAACTTCCACTTGTCTAGAGGAAATGTTTCTGATTTAAAGCAAAGATTTATACTCCAAATTATTTAACAGGAGTACTGTTTCCCTTGGGTAAGAGTTGCTGAAGGATTAATAGGGCGAAAATGATCTACACAAAGAACTCGTTAACCTGTCAAGCGAAATAGACCGAACTAATGAAGAAGCTGTTCTCCACGTACTTTTAGGCAAATGATGATTTTTGTTCGCAAATATATCTAAACTAAAATAATTTATGTAGCTCATTTGGACTGGTATTATAGTGGGTGATTAAATTATTAGAGTCACTTGCATAAATTAATGATTTTACGATTTTACGATTTTAACTGTTTTTTCGCAGTAGCATAACCTACGTTTAACTTTTCGTGTATGTTTCGTTAACAATTATTGATTAAAAATTGTCAGTGTAAAAACCTTAATACTATCATTTTGATTATATCTCATTTTATTTCTACACAAATACAAAACGACATACTTTTCGTACTGCGGCTCTAATAATAATGTGATCATTCACTGTATATCAGACGATAGCATATAGAATTATGTATAACTTAAAACTATTATACTTTCCATACGTTATAATAAGTTACTATATATAGTAATGAAAATATTTAAATTGAATAGCAATTGATAATGATTTAGAGTGTATAAAGCAATTTTTTTGACATCAGCGGGATGAAAATAATAAATTTCGATAGTTTCTAAACGTTATGATTTTTTACAAAACGCTGAGATATTTTACAATTCTCTCACGTTAAATTCCTAGAAAATTATTTGACGACTAGTTTCACGCAATTGTGTATCGCAGAGAAGTCCAGAAGGGAAAATTAATTTTCGACTTTTGTCGTAGCATGAAATGACAGCAGAACCGTCTTCTGTTAGCAGCCTGTTTCATACAAACTCGACAACTTTGACGAGTTAATCTACTTTACCCTCTTAGTACTCCTACGAACGTCCCACTGTGATAATTCGGAAGGAACACATCGAAATTTTTAGAGGAGTCGTTCGAATGGAGGTAGTCCCTCTGAAACTGGCATCTGGTAAACTTTTCGTTCAAGAAATATCTTTGCGATGATGCAGCCATGCCACCTGTCAACCCTAACAGTCGAGAATTTTTTTAAACTTCCAGGATATTTGCTGTATAAATTTATACGTTGGAAGATTAAATATTAAGAATGTGGAAAAATGTACATTATTTCATTAGGTTTTTCTTACATAACAAAACTATTCCTTGGTGATTATAGTAATTATTTTCAACTCTATAAGCAAATAGTTTATACCTAATAAAAAATATCTAATCAACATACGTCTTAAAATCCATTCATGAAAAGAAGAATGTAAATTTTTGTTTTCACATTTGTTACAGATGTTTCATATGTCTTCTTTCCACTTTCAATACAAACTCATATCTGCGGATCATAGATCAACGAACATTTTCAAATAATTCTTCCGTATCTTTTATTGCTTATTTTCATATAACCTTGAACTAATGTACTTCTAGACCAAATTGTCTATTTACATTTTATATGTTGCGGCGAGATTCACTTACGATATCGAACGCTCGTAAATATTAAAGTTCATTTTTGCTTTAGGACCTACGATAATTAGGCATTTTTTACTCCACTCGGTGAGTATTACTCAAATTATAAACCCCTAACGTATTTAGATTATCTTTTTCTTATCATCCTGCATAATAACTCCTAATTCTAATAATTAAATTTGTAAATTTGTTTTATTATTGTTACGTCTTTGTAAGTCTTATTGTTAACATTTGTTTATTTTAATGCTAATTCTTAATTTTATTACATTCCGCAATCGAAGAGCAGAAGATTAATGTTCTATAGCTCCTTTGAAAAATTAATTTAACAATAATTAACGGTTTTACTTTTATGAAGTTCAATATGTTTTACTGATTGCTAACAGTGCACAAATTTTGTTAATGATAGAAGACTAGCAACCAGTATTATAAATCTGCTAAACTACAATCCTCCAAAAATGTAGGACGACCCTAAATAAAGAGATAAAGATTTTCCACAAAGCTCATGTCACACAAACAGGTGGGATAAATTTACATAAACGGAAAAAAGAATTTCCCGAAAATGATGTATAATTCAACATATGCGACTGAACATCTGTATGACTCAGTGTTAAAATTGAAAGTATAATAAATTTCCTAGTACTAAAAGGGTACATTCTGGTGTAAACATTGTAAAAAACGTTGCAAAAAGGATTTTTGTGAAAGAAAAATATTGTACATACAGTAAACAATCAGTCTGGGGTTATTAATATATATTTTAAGATATAAACAAAATTCGTTTATATTATTTTGTTTAATGCGTACTGCAAAAACCAGCAACTCCCGAAAATGATGTATAATTCAACATATGGGACTGAACATCTGTATGACTCAATATTAAAATTGGAAGTATAATAAATTTCCTAGTACTAAAAGGGTACATTCTGGTGTAAACGTTGTAAAAAACGTTGCAAAAAGGATTTTTGTGAAAGAAGAATATTGTACATACAGTAAACAATCAGTCTGGGGTTATTAATATACATTTTAAGATATAAACAAAATTCGTTTATATTATTTTGTTTAATGCGTACTGCAAAAACCAGCAATGACTGTATCGTTAAAAAACGTATGCTCAAACGGTGCCCAGAAAATGTCGAGATCCACTCATCTGAAATAAAAAAACTACAGTTTTCTTAAAACTTATACAGATGGTTATCATATTAAGCAACTTTATTGAAAAATAAAGAAAATTCTCTGATTGGTACCTGTTTTTGTGAAAGTGTTAACAAAATAGGTAATTTTTTCATTAAAAAATGGTAAATAAGGAATGGTTTATTGGTAAGTATATATATATATTTTAATTATAAGGTAATATTGGTTTACCAAAACTTCTGAATCTGCTTGTCATGATAACCATCCCTATAAGTTTCTAAGAAAAATTTTGGTTTTTTGATTTAAGATGGGTGGATCTGGAGATTTGATATACATCGTTTGGGCATCCGTTTTTTTAACGTCACAGTCGTTGCTGGTTTTTGCATTACCTATATCTTAAACAAAATAACAAACAAATTTTTGTTATATCTTGAAATGTATTTTAATAAACCCCAAACTGATTGTTTATTCTATGTGTTATAGTTTTTTTTTACAAAAATCCTAAAAAACCGTTTTCTTACAGCGTTTACACTAGAATCTTGAACGATTACAAGTTTTTTTAATTGTCGTCACTTAATTGTAGACCCTTCAGCAAACTTAGATTCTTCAGATTTATATTTTAAAACGAGAGTTGAATATATATTCATTTATCTATTACAAATTTGCAGAAATTTATAATAAAATATAAAAACGCTCTAAAGTTTTAATTTTATTACACTTGGTATGCTCGTGACATACCATAAGCATATCTTTGTAATCTGATCATCAAATTGATCTTTTAATTTGTGAGTGTATATCATTTATCTGTGTAAACTTATAAACCATTACTTATTATTTCTGTGAAACTTATGTCCATCTATTTAATACAACATTCGTTAGTCTTGCTAATCCCTTTCTAATTTTGTGTATCTTCATTAGTAGGATTCGACAAAAATTAGAAACTGTGATGCAAACAAAATTTAAAGTGTTGTTTATATGTACATTAACTTCCTTCCAAAATAATTTAGTAGACTTTTAATTTTATGTTGCATGTATATAATATATGTATGTTCAGTTTATAGTATACATGTAAATGAAATTCCTTTAAAAAATTCCATTCCTTTTCATTATCGTTCTTTATAAATTATTTGTTAAAATTATGTATTATATTATTTGTTTATATTATTGTTTTATATTATAT